CAGTAGGAGTGAGTTTTGCAGAAACAGGCGCTCAGCAAAGCAGCTCATATTAGTTTTCACGAGTTTGCGTCAACATGGAAGAAATAAGCCCCAAATAGCGGTCGGATCAGCCACCGTGCCCTTCCCAAAAAAGCCTCCAAGAGTGGGCATCCAACATGATTTCATCGCCTCCCCCTGCATTCTCCTTTGAAATGTTCCTCGGAAAAACGATAGGCGGAATCTTGAGTCCTCGTGCTTTCACTGGGAGACATTTGACACACAGGAGTCATGGAAGGAAAGCCAACGGGGAGGGGGACTGTGGGGGACTTCAAGGGGATATAAATTAAAGGCGCACACACCTTTTGTCCCCCTCAATGAAACAGCAAAGCAACTCACGAGGCTTTTCATTTTGCCATTATAACCCTCCCTCCCCTCCCCCAGAAGACCCCGTGGAAATGAAAAAGGGGGGTGATAGTCTCACCTTGCCCATTTCTAATTTTGGCAAAGGAAAAGCTTGCCAAAAAGCTATAAATAACACAAGGGACTGTAAGAGGTCTCAGAGGGGGGCAAAACAGGTGCAGCTGCAGTGCGCATGACCCAGCTCCCGAGATCAGGACTAAGAGCCTTGAAGTGCTGCATCTCATGATAGTCAGAGTGCTTTCCCATCACCCTGTGGGGCGTGGAAAGGACAGGGAGGGGGTATAAATTAAAGGCGCACATGCCTTTTTTCTCCTCAAGGGAATAGTAAAGCAGCTTGCAAGGCAGAGCTGAGAGGGAGCAGCTGGATGCAGGCACTCAATTAAGGAAAAGGAAAGATCAGGCATCGCTTTGCTCCATTTTCATTTGCATCATTTCTGCTTGTGCATCCAAGTTGCTTCCCTTCCCATTCCTGCAACTCCCGGACGATGAAATACATCATCGGGATAGGAGGGTAAGGTGCTAGGTGATCTTGCATTTACTTCCTGCTTTTCGTTTTTGTCACCTGCAGCATGCCTTGAGGCATGAGGATGACATGTACTTTTATATGGTAACAAGGATAGGGGTTTAAATAAGGCAAAATCTAGATCAAATATCTCCTAGCTCTAGATCATGCTTGTTTTATTGCACACAGAGAGCTGTGCAGGTTGGGCTTGCCAGACGCTTTCACCCCCACCCTCGCCAGACGCACCAGCGGAAGATTGTCCCCACTGGCCTTCCATCCAAGAGAAACAAAAAATACAGGACATTTTGTATGTGCAGTATTTTCTGTCTTTTTTTCTGGACAGGGGCCAGAAAAAACGGACTGTCCGTGTGACAGTATTTTCTGTCTTTTTTTCTGGACGGGGCCAGAAAAAACAGACTGTCCATATGAAAACCAGACACCTGGTCTTTCTATAGTGATACAGGGCAGGAGCTAAAGGTTTTCTGGCTTTATCTTCACACCTGATTTCGAAATGGGTTGAAACGGTTAGAAAATGTAAGAGACTGTCAGTGCAGAGAGAGATTTTAAGTGTTCCACTGAATACACGGGAGGGGAGGGGAAAGTTGATAAAAAAAGCTTCCTAAAATGGATCCAAAAAGGAGGGACTTTGTTTCCTCCCCTCCAAATGAGTGAGACTAGGAAGAAGAGCTGCATAAATCTCCCGAATTGGGTGACTGTGGGGCACAGATCCTGCGCAGGTGCTGGCTGTCATAGGTGAGTTAGGGGGGTTATACGGCATGAAAAAGTGTGCAAAGGTGAGAGATTTGTAAAGAAATGTTCGAAGCTGGCACGTTCAGCCCAGACCACCCCGCCCTCCTGCAGGGAGGAAAGTCTCTCTGCTTTGGGATACAGTGATGTGGGACCGTGGGGGTCTGAGTCCAGATCTGCCCTCCACTTAAGGCTCATTCACAGGGTGGCGGAGGGAGGTAATTTTTAAGGCCGTTGTGTAAGGCATTTCCCTCTTGTGGCAGATTTTTTTTAAGTCTCAAAGATCTTGGCTGCATCAGCTGAAGTGTCCTAGATCCTACAGACAGCAGGGTGATGGGGCTACCGCCATGCTAATAGGAAGTCATTTGGAATCGATGCTGAAAATGGCTTGTTCACCCCCGTTGAGTGTATCCCTGGGAGACGTCCGCTCACGTTCCCTGCTCACAATCCCAGGATTTTTAAGACAGGAGCAATGTTTTAATTTGGATCCTTCGGGGCCGAAGTGAGATTTGAGGGCTCTCACTGCAACACACGGAGATCCTGCTCCTCCTCCCCCACAGGAAATCAATTTAATTAGAGGTTGACTATAACTCCCTCTCATGTCTGAGTGAGAGGATTAGTCTGAGGGACTGCAAGACCTTCCCCCTGACCGGAGGGCTCCCCGCTTTGGTTCTTGAGAGGAGGACCCTGGCCGGAGGCAGGGGGGATGCTGTGAAGGCCAAGACGATAACAGGGGTAAAAAAAGAGCTGGACAAGTTCATGGAGAACACGTCCATCCATGGCGATTAGCCAGGTGGGCAGGGTTGGCACCTCTAGCCCAGATAATTGCTCTGTTCTATCGCTGAAGCAGCTGACCCCGGCTCCTGTTGGAAGGCAATATTCTGGGCAATACAGAGCTTTGGTCTGACACGGTATGGCTGTTCTTATGTTCTAACCCCTTCCCCCCTGGTTCTGAGGCAGCCTTCGCAGAACAGCCCCTTTGGCTCTTGGACAGAAGGGCCCCTCACCTGGTGCATTTGTGTCCTATAAAGTGTGTAGGAACGGGGAGCAGCCCTGCTTCTCCCCCACTGGGTCTGTGAAGGGCAGGAAAGGGATTCCACTACCTCTCCCCACTCCGCCATAACACAGCTAAGAATCTGGTTTCTATGGGACTAGCACATTTACCTGGCGTAGCTCGGGTCATTATAGTGGGGCTCAGGATAGTGGGGTGCAGGAGCCAGGGCAGGGGGCTGGGAGGCGTGAGGGGGCTCAGGACAGGGGTTGGAGTTTGGTTGATCCCCAAGCCTGGCCAGGGCAGCAGAGGCATTTGTCATGATTATGAGGGTTAGCCAGCAGCCTGGGGATTAAGGGGTTAACTACAGGTGGAGGTGGAGTGACCAATAGGAATGTAGGTAGAACAGAAACCTTACCCGTGTAGGGTGACCAGCAACATCCGGAACCCCGCCCCTAGCTGGCCACACTCTTACTGCTGCACCCCCCTCCCCTCCCAGTGCAGTGTTCCCTCTAAGCTACACGGCTTCACAGGTGATTCATCAGCCTCGCTCAGTCAGTCAGCTCCGTGCACGGAGCCCTGAGCCTCCGACTGGGCGGGGCTGATGAATCACCCAGGAAGCTCTGCTGCCCCGGTGGTCATTCTGCAGTGTAGCTCTGCCTCCTAGCAGACCCCCTCCCTTTGCATTTGAAGCATAACAAACCCATTCCAGGCACAGCCCCTTGTCCTGGCACCACCAAAACTCTGGCCTTGCTTTACGTTAGAGTGGAGGAAGCTGCGGCCCAAGTTTCGGTGGTCCTAGCTCTTGCCATTTTGGAGGAGGAGCTCTTGAACAAATGGACAGACAGACAGATGGGCAGAGAGACAAACTCTCTCAAGTATATCGTAGATGAAAAGGCTTGGGGGGGGGGTGGGGCTCCATGACAGCATTATGTCCAGTCTCTGGCTCCCTGGGGCTGACCAAAGCAGGAGGCAGGCTGCCTTGCCAGCAGCTCACCAGAACAGAAACCTTACCCGTGTAGGGTGACCAGCAACATCCGGAACCCCGCCCCTAGCTGGCCACACTCTTACTGCTGCACCCCCCTCCCCTCCCAGTGCAGTGTTCCCTCTAAGCTACACGGCTTCACAGGTGATTCATCAGCCTCGCTCAGACAGTCGGCTCCGTGCACGGAGCCCTGAGCCTCCGACTGGGCGGGGCTGATGAATCACCCAGGAAGCTCTGCTGCCCCGGTGGTCATTCTGCAGTGTAGCTCTGCCTCCTAGCAGACCCCCTCCCTTTGCATTTGAAGCATAACAAACCCATTCCAGGCACAGCCCCTTGTCCTGGCACCACCAAAACTCTGGCCTTGCTTTACGTTAGAGTGGAGGAAGCTGCGGCCCAAGTTTCGGTGGTCCTAGCTCTTGCCATTTTGGAGGAGGAGCTCTTGAACAAATGGACAGACAGACAGATGGGCAGAGAGACAAACTCTCTCAAGTATATCGTAGATGAAAAGGCTTGGGGGGGGGGGGGGTGCAGCTGAAGCACATGCCTGAATGTCAGGGTGTTGGGAGTGACTGGAGAGACAGTTAACGAAGTCAAATCTTGGGGAAGGACCCAGATTCAGTCTGCAGTGAAGACGTCGTAAGAGGGACTGGGGTCCCCAGTGTGCCCTTTGGGTGACCTTTTGGATGACAGACCATTGCTGGCTGGTTTTCAGATCTCACCAGAAGACGACTGGATCAAGCAAAACAATTACTCCGATCTCACAAGTTGATTGCCTGGGTAAACAGGGCCCCTTTTGCATGAGCATTTTATTTCTGTGTTTTAAGAATTTTTACATCTCCACCTTAGCACTTATTTGTCTTGGGGGTTCATTATATCCCTGGAGTCTGACTAGTCACTTTATCTAGGAAGGTCGGGGGGAGGGGGGGTTTAACCAAGCCTACAAGTCAGATCCAGCTGGGGCAAAAAATATTGAAGAGAAAGTGATGGGATTAGTTCAGAAGCATCCCTTCCTTCCATCAGGACCTACAGTCTAGTGCTTGCCATTACAGAAAGGATGTGGATGCATTGGAGAGAGTCCAATGGAGGGGAAAAACACATGACTTACAAGAAGACACTGAGGGATCTGAGCTTATTTAGTCTGCAGAAGGGAAGTGTGAGGGGGGATTTGATAGCAGCCTTCAACTGCCTGAAGGGAGGTGCCAAAGAGGATGGAGAGAGGCTGACAGATGGCAGAACAAGGAGCAATGGTCTCAAGTTGCAGTGGGGACATCTAGGTTGGATATTAGGAAAAACGATAGCCCCGGGAGGATGGGGAAGCACTGGGATGAGTTCCCTAGGGAGGGGTAGAATCTCCATCCCTAGAGGTTTTTAGCTTTGAAGCACATGCCTGAATGTCAGGGTGTTGGGAGTGACTGGAGAGACAGTTAACGAAGTCAAATCTTGGGGAAGGATCCAGATTCAGTCTGCAGTGAAGACGTCGTAAGAGGGACTGGGGTCCCCAGTGTGCCCTTTGGGTGACCTTTTGGATGACAGACCATTGCTGGCTGGTTTTCAGATCTCACCAGAAGACGACTGGATCAAGCAAAACAATTACTCCGATCTCACAAGTTGATTGCCTGGGTAAACAGGGCCCCTTTTGCATGAGCATTTTATTTCTGTGTTTTAAGAATTTTTACATCTCCACCTTAGCACTTATTTGTCTTGGGGGTTCATTATATCCCTGGAGTCTGACTAGTCACTTTATCTAGGAAGGTCGGGGGGAGGGGGGTCTTTGAAGTCCAATGGAGGGGAAAAACACATGACTTACAAGAAGACACTGAGGGATCTGAGCTTATTTAGTCTGCAGAAGGGAAGTGTGAGGGGGGATTTGATAGCAGCCTTCAACTGCCTGAAGGGAGGTGCCAAAGAGGATGGAGAGAGGCTGACAGATGGCAGAACAAGGAGCAATGGTCTCAAGTTGCAGTGGGGACGTCTAGGTTGGATATTAGGAAAAACGATAGCCCCGGGAGGATGGGGAAGCACTGGGATGAGTTCCCTAGGGAGGGGTAGAATCTCCATCCCTAGAGGTTTTTAAGTCCCAGCCTGACAAAGTCCTTGCTGGGATGATTTAGTTGAGATTGGTCCTGCTTTGGGCAGGGGGTTGGACTCAGTGACCTCTTGAGGTCTCATCCACCTGTATGATTCTAAGATTCTATGCTGGGCTTATAGACGCCTTTAATAAAGATTCTTTTGACTCCATGTGATACAGAAGCAGACAGATCTGGCTGGAATAGAAATACCCCTGAAGAAATGGTGTTAGGCTGCCGTAACGGCACCTTATACTGTCGTAATTCTAATGCCTCTTCTCTCCCGCTGCTTCACATTCCCTCTTTAGTGTGACCAACGGTGGCAAAACCACTTTGACCAACCGACTTATCAAAGTTCTTCCAAACTGTTGTGTTGTCCATCAGGATGATTTTTACAAGGTAAATTAAGCTATTCTGCCTGTTTAAAAATAGCTACTGAGGCTTAAATATATTCCATGCAATGTCAAGTATGTGCCATAGGGAAGCCTGGTGTGAGTTTGTGTGGTTAAGTGGTTTAGGAAGAACATATTTAGCTTCTGAAATGCCTTGGGCAGATTGAAATACAATGGCCTTTTACAAACTGTTAGCATGTTAGTTTCAACACAGTAGCCAATTGGAACACAGGGAAATGATCTCCTTGAATTTTAATTTCACAGCAAATGCATGTAACTTTAGATCAGCCTATTGGTTTAAAGGGACTTATTTTTGCTTTTATTTTAGCTATTTTCCTAGTTTGTCCCCACCTTGGCCCTTTCTTGTAATCGTTCTCTTTACAAAAAAGACTCTGGCTTTCCAAAGGCCTTTTATGACATAGGCTGCAAGCATGTTTGCATTTATCATTTAAAACAAAGACAAGCTAACCTTTCGGCACAAGGGACCACATCCTCAAAGGCTTTTAGGCTCCTCGCTTGCACTGATTTCAATGTCAGGGGAAGGGTCAAACTGTCTAACACCTTTAGCTCTGTTTTACCTCTGTAGGAGCCTGAGCCAGTCTATGGAAAGATTCACACTAAAGTCAGTTGGCTGTGTTGGATCAAGCCCAGGCGGATGGCAAGGACAAAGCCACGTTAGAACATGTTACCGAATTGTGTTTTGGGCTCTAACAATGATCAGAAGGGTCATAACCGTATTTTGATCCCGCTGATATAGGCAAGATCAAACCATGTTGTGACACAGTGGGAGAATTCCTATTTTATAACACAAAGCCCCAACCCGGTCGATGTTCCTGTGCTCCCAGACCTAAAAGGCCTGTTTGTCTGTCCTTCATGCATGTACATGCCCTACTGAATAGAACTCAGCACTTTATATTGCTAAATTGGAAGTGTTTCTTCATCCTAACCCAAAAAGTGCATCTAGATAAATGCTAAGAGGAGCTTTGAGAGGTAGTTATAACTTTTTCTGTAAAATATGTATTTCATTCTGCCATGTTAAATTTATAAATGGTTATTGAAAGCAGAGCTAAGAGCAAACGAAAGTTACTGTGCTGACTCACAGCTTTTATTGGACGCGTTTGTTCAGTATCGTAGGAATTAATGTAAGATGTGATACAGCAATGGTCACTTAACACTACCTGCATTTTTTAAATCCAAAGATTCTATTTCTTGACTTAAAACCATGCTTCTCTACCAAATCAGAAATGGCATTTTTCTGACTTTATGTTAAACTGGGAATCCTTGGGCAGACGCAGCCTCCTTGGGGCAAGAGAGCAAATTCACTTGCTGATACTCTCAGATGGGGTGGAAGATGGGGCGGTAAAAATGCTCCATCAGGTTTCACACCCGAAGGCTGCTGCGGCCGTTTTGTTAAGTGAACTCTTGCTTCGTTGTGTAGTGCAGTCGTGCACAGGTTGTGATCACATCGTAGCTAACAGATCACCCTGCCTTTGCAGCAATGTTTTATTGCTCACTATATTTCAGCCACAAGATCAGATAGAAGTCGGGGAAGACGGCTTTAAACAATGGGATGGTAAGAGCAGTGTTCGCTGTAGGAAGCAGTAATGTATATTTTTTCCTAAGTATTTCTTTTTAATTATACTATTAAGACTTAATGGTAAATTTCCATAATTCTATATTACACGTTTCTATTTACACACTTTCCTGCCTCTGGGGTTTGGGGCTTTTGACTTATTTCCCACCTGATTTTCTTCTAAATAGCACTGGAATCCCTGGATATGGAGGCGATGGTGAGCACAGTGAGGGCGTGGATTGAGAAGCCAAGGAAATTTGCCCGTTCCCATGGGGTGAATATTAAGCCTAATTCTAAAGATCCCGCCCCGAAGGAGATCCACATTCTGGTCATTGAAGGCTTCCTGCTTTACAATTACAAGTAAAGTGTCTTTTTATTTACAGAACGTTTTGTGGCAATGAAAAGTGCAGGATTTATAGCTCTGGTCACGGAAGTCTCCTTGCAATTAACTAACTCAAGTGGTTTTCAGTCTAGGGGTCACGACACAGTACTGGGTCGTGGAATGTCAGGCACCGGGTCTGGTTGCTGCAGGGGGATCAGTGGGGGGGGGGGGACAGGAGGGCTCACTGTCCTGGCTCCTCAGACTGTGCTGCACCCCAGAAGCAGCTGGCAGAAGGCCCGCCTCCTAGGTGAGGGTGGGGGTGGGGAAGAGCGCACTCCCATTGGCTGAGAACCTGCTGCTGGCTGCTTCTGTCTTTGCATCGGAATCACAATTCTCAGTGGTTGAGGTGACTTGAGTTCCATCTAACAACACCTTCTTGGGGAACAAATATTTAATACAGGTTGCACCTCTAAAATCCGGGATTCCCTGGTCCGGCAACATCCATAGTCTGGCATGACCTCGGATGTTCCAGGATCAGAAAGTCCCGGTGCGCTGCAGGGTGTTGGAGGTCCAGGAGCCTGTGTGCGGCTTAGCTGGGCAGTGAGGAGGGAGCCAGGAGCCGGGATACAGCTCAATTGGTCTTCAAGGAGGGCTGGAGCTGCACAGGGGGAGCCAGGAAACCGGTGGTAACGGGAGGGCTGAAATGACCTCCTCTGGTCCAGAAAAATCCCTTATCTGGGTCCAGTCAGGTCCCAAGGGTGCCAGATCAGGGAGGTCCAACCTGTTATGGGCTCTTCAGTCTAGCAGAGACGGTAAGACAGGGTCCAATGGCCGGAAGTTAGACAACTTCCAACTAGAAATAAGGCATAAATGTGTAACAGCGAGAGTCATTAACTACTGCAACAATTTACTGAGGGTCAGGGTGGGTTCTCCCAAACTTGATTCAACAGTGATGAAGTCCTTCTAAAAGACCCTAGGTAGGAATTATTTGGGGGAAGTTCTCAGGCATGGGATAGATAGGCGCTCAGACTACATCATCATAAAAGGTCCAGGCCATGAGTGGTTCTGCGAGGACAACCATTCAATGACACCTGCTCAGCACTGTTTCAACACTCAGTATAGGAAGCAGCTGGGACCTGCCTTCTGAAGGTGAATGTCAGATGTGAATGGCTTGTCTCCACAGACTGTGTGTTACGAGAGCCTCATTGAAGATTACATCAGTAACTTGCCAGGGGCCCAAGACTTGTATGTTGCCTGAAGGAAGTAGAACAGTGTTGTCCAAATGAGACTTTAGGTCCCATTAGGAAACACTCTGAGTGAAGAGCCTAGATTTAGGCCAAGATGGAATACTGCATTCTGTTTTGTGGGAAATCGCACCAGAATCCTGTCAGTCAAACTTTGTCCAAGCCTGCTGTATACATCCGATTCCTCCCGCCATGATCCTCCGGTCTGAGCTGACCTCTCCAGTTACTGGCTTTCCAGACTAGTAGGAGCATAATTCAAGCCAAATGTGAAAGACTTTTCCCTTAGGCTCACAGGGTGACTAGTTTTCCTGGCTGTTCAGGCCCCTTTAGACACTCTATTTCTGTCTCGGACACAAGAAGTATTTGTAAATGGGCTCACATCAGGCCACGTGAAATGTTGTCAGAAGTCCGGACTGCTGCAGAAAGTCTTTGAAGCAAGGGCACGACAAACCACAGGAAAAAAAGATTGTATTTGTTGCAACGTGGCCACTAGCATTTGTCTCTGAGGAAATAAGTAATAGTGATCTAGTGTTGCCTTTTTTCTCCCCGCTCCCCCAGACCGCTGACTGACTTGTTCAACAGACGCTACTATCTGACAGTTCCCTATGACGAATGCAAAAGGAGGAGGAGGTAAGCGCGTTACTTTACCTACGGTTAATTAATACGTTGCTCTGGTATCGGATTTGGAGCGCGTATGCAAGGGAGAGTATGGTAGTTGCGTGACGATTGTGATTCAATGTACCCACTGGCGTTGCTTTCCAACTGCAGTTGCAATTGACAAACTTTCAAGTCAGTCGGAAGATGACAGCTCATGGGGCATTTCTTGTACCTTTAGAACAGGGGCGAGGAAACTCAGGCTCGGGGGCCAGATGCGGCCCTCGGCTTGCCTGGATCTGGCCCCCGAGGTTCAGGGCCCCCCCCCACTGCCTCCCAGTGGAGATGGAGCACACAAAATCTACTAGGCTGGGCCTCTCTCGGCTCTGGTGTGTGAGGGGAATGTGTGGAGGGTCTTTCTCCTTCTCATTTCGGGGGCCCCAGTGGGGGTGTGTGTTCTACTTCTCATTTGTGTGCAGCCCTCCCCCCCCCGGACTGATTTTTCTGTGGGTCAGTGGCCCCCAACTCAAAAAAGGTTCCCCACCCCTGCTTTAGAAAATAGCTATCTTGGGGGGAGTAGCTTTTCTTGGGAGTTGCAGATCTGAAAGCTGATATTCTGGAGTGACCTTCAAATAGGTACAGCTCCTGTCCCTTAGGACATGGGCTGTGTTCAGCAGTATATTACCGAACCACCATTAGATAACCTCATTTGATCTTTAGCATTGGGCCAGATGTAATGCCAACATGACAATCTAACACAGGGGTGGGGAACCTCAGGCCCGTGGTTCGGATGTGGCCCCCGGCTTGCCTGGTTCTGGTCCCCAAAGCTCCGGGCTCCTCCTCAGTATTGGGGAGCCTATGCTGGGGCTCCCGTCCCCCTTCCATCCACCGCACAGCTGGAGCACACAGATCTATTAGCCCAGGCCCCTCTAGGCTCTGGAGAATGAGGAGACGATGGGGAGGGTCTTTCTGCTTCTCAGTCGGGGGTCACATCAGTGAGGGTTTGGGGATAGTTTTTGTGCTTCTCACTTTTGTGGCCCCCGGCTGATTTTTCTGTGGGTCAGTGGACCCAAAAAAGGTGCCCCACCCTTGCTCTAACAGCTTCCTTTCCATTTGAACACTGACAGTACACGCCATTATCCTATTCCTGACCCGCCTGGTCTTTTCGACGGCCACGTCTGGCCCATGTATCTGAAGTACAGGAAGGAAATGGAGATGAGTGAGGTGGATGTGGGTAAGCTGCCCTTCACGCAAACGGTGGCATTGTAGTGCCGGCACCAGGCCGTCAAGACTTCACTCAAGGAGGTTTGAATGATGAAGCTAAGAACGCTGGCCTCGCTTCTGCTCAGTGCCACTTTGAAATGGCTCTGGTGTCACTAAGAGCAGGATTCAGCCCAGCGTTTATGTGGGAGTATCAGAACGAATGCCTTGCAGGCTGCACCAGAAGGCACCATGCCTCAATTTATCAAGTCTTTTTTTGTTGTTGTTGCATTTTTTAAATTAGTTTGGGAGACCCCATTAGGATTTCCTCCCCACACGCCTAGCTACCTGACAAGGAAGAAGAGCAGTGGCTAAACGCAGGATCAGGGCCGGAGATCGATAATCTTTTGCCATAGATTGCTCTATGATCTTTCACCTCCATTTCCCCTCTCATGACATGGGACCCACCGTGATCTACCTCATAGGCCTCTGGGGGTGATCAGTCTGTGAAACAAACCTTAGATTAGAAAACACCATTCCAAGGCAAAATTTTATAACCAAGCAGCCATAGCAGCAGCTTATTCCTGGAAGTCTAAATCAAGATGGGAGGAGTCTGTGGATTGGGGTTTCTTTTTGTGGAAATGGCAGGTTGGACATGTGGGTGCGTGACCCTTAAACCAGGTTTCAAGAACCTTTTTTTCTTTCCTGCCTCTCCCTTCTCCCCTATTTATTTTGGGTCTGCACATCCTAAACTCAAAACTCCGGTCATCTGAAGAAGTGGGCTGTGCCCACGAAAGCTCATGGTACTATCTGCATGGTTTGTTAGTCTATAAAGTGCTACCAGACCATTTGTTGTCATTTAAATTTATCCTTTTTTCATGTGACTTTCACGAATGCCCTTCAAATTGCAAGCTAACAAACTCGCTGGGTTGTTGTTGTTTTTCCTTTCAGTGCATCTGGATGGATTGAAGTCTAGAGAGGACCTGTACAATCAGGTCTTTGAAGAGGTTCAGAACACACTTTTAAATTGTTCATAGGTAAATAGGCACCTGCTTCTATGTGCATTGGTCCCTGCTGAAACAGCACACTTCTTCCACACTGGGCTAGTCTTGCTTTCTGGAGTCTGAGAAGAGCTGAAAGACCCCGATTTGATGTAAATAGTGCCCTAGGTGTTAGAAGATAGTATTAGGTAGGGTGTATTTGTGTAAACCAGCCGTATACTGTCCCTTGGAAAAGCTCTGATGTATATAATTGAAAATGTGAAGATAAGTTATTTACAACTCACCCACAGGCAGGTTTTTTTTTAAATCTATATTCCACTGGTCTAAATATGTGATTTTTAAGATGCTTTTTTCCACCATTCAAGAGCCCACCCTCTGCTCTGCCTCTACTTTTGAATAGCTTTTAAGCTTCTGCTTTATTGCTTGTGACACCACCTTTTAAGTTCAAAGGGTTTTGGTTTTTTTCAAAGTGCTGATATGAAAGACATGAGCTGTATGTCAGCCAGCCAATAAATACTATTTTATGCTCAACCCTATTGTGCATTTAGGAGGAAACCTTGTGGCTTTCACAAGCTAGGTCCTCTCCCTCCCTGGAGTTCTTAAGACCGGGATACCTCTGAATTGCCTACAGCTCTATGAGTTTCCTGGTTTTACCACCCACACCCACCCCTTCAATTCTCAGTCCTTTCTCCAGGAAGCAGCCACAAACAGCTTCCCCTGGGTTCTACTAGCCCTCCTCTTTGTGCTGCCTGTGTGTGCTTATTAACTACTTTCTCAGCTGATGAGTTAATTAGCCCCGGAGCTCAACAACTCACAGTTTGATTAGATAATTAAGTCTTGCTCCCCTCAATCAGGGCATCTCTGGGGGGCACTGGTAAGTGACCAGAATGCTGCTGGTTCTCTCCAGGCTCTGGCAGTGGTTTGTTTCACACTCTCTCGTCAATTTGTAAGACGATGAGGGGGGAGCTCACAGCTCCTCTGCATCTGGCATTCTGAGCATGAGAGTTATTCAGGTGTGGATTTCCCAGATGCTAGGGCTGGATCCACCACAGAAAATGCCATGTGTTGGGTATTATTAGGCCTAATTGGTGGACAAAATAATGAGGGGATGGACTATTCCAGGCATCATTACTTTTTGGGGGTTTTAAAATAAATATTTGTGCAGGCAGAGGGGGGGGATGTAAAAAGGAAGAACATGAGGCAAACCAACAGGCTGGTGAAATAGCTTCACCAACACGGCTGCCACCCCTCCCCATCTCCTAGGATGGTCTTTGTCCCAATGCTGAGGGAAGTCCTGACACAGCCCCACTCCCGGCTGGGCCCAAGGCGCATCTGGACTTCACTCTGTCAGCTGCAGCCGAATCCCGACCACCAGCCGCGGTCAAAGCAGCTGCAGCAATCCCAGCTCCAGCCCCTCTCAAGCGGCTCCCCGCAAGGGACAGGTTTTTACCCGCCTTGACAGTGCCTGTCAGACAAAGGGAGGGGGTTTTCCTGCTACAACGCGCAGCAGCTCGTGGGGAAAAGCACCTACAATGTTGTTAGCCTGGCTTAATACTTGGTATTTCAAGGACTTTGGCTGGTTTTCCCTTCTTTTCTGGATTTAAGGGTTAAAGGATTGTCATGGGGTGTTTGTCATAGTACCCAGCAGGCTGAAGTCTCTGTAGACCAGTGGTCTCCACACGTATTCCCTGCCCCTCCCTGGAGCTGGGAATGAGAGCGCAGATGCTGCTTTGGGGGGCAGCAGACAGGAGTAAGGGGGCGCAGGACTGGGGGTGGAGGCAGGGCCATAGCTAGTAATAGGAGCAGAGCTGCAGTTACAGCCAGGCTGCGGTCGGGGCCGGTAGCCAGGCCATGACCCAGTGTGGCCCCTGCCCCCAGCCCCCCTCCCAGGCCAGGAAAGGAGCTGCCACCACCAGCCAAGGCCGGGGGCTGACATAGGGAGGACCCACCTCCAGGCTATGAAGGGGATCAGCAGCCAGGCCCCCGACAGGGGCAGAGCCATGCTGAGGATGGGGCCTGGGTCAGGCGCTGGGATACGGCTGCCAACAGGCCTGGAGCAGGACTGGGGGCAGGCAGGGCCTGGGTGGTTCTCCCTTCCCACCCCCTTGTGGGGGGCTGATCTGGACCCTACCACACATCACCCCCTCTACGTTCCCCCATGCCCCCTTCGGCCCTTCCTTGTCTATTGAGCCTACACTGTAAGCTCTGTGGGGCTGAGACCATCTCTCACCCGGGCTCGAGGGGGCCCTGTTCTTGACTGAGTCCAGTGACCGAGTGGGGACAGGACGTGTCCCCACAGTTGACGAGCCAATTGATTAGGCGCTGGGGGGAAAGCAGTGACCCAGGGGATTCAGCTCCTTAGAGGAGGACAGTTAAAAGAGAGACAGGCAGAAGCCAGCAGGGAAGGCTGGGCCGGAGAGATGCACGCAGGGAAACAAGCACTTGTGTGCAGCATGTTGTAAATCAAGCCCCGGGTGTTGAACTCGCTACAGGCGTCTGAGGGCTGTTTGCAACACAGAGTGCAGGTGGGCGGGGGCAGAACCCTGCCCTGCCACAGGCCTCCAGGTGCTGCTGTAATACAATAACTATGGGTGTGGCCCAGGGCATGCAGGGTCTCATGCTTCAGGACACCCTGAATGGATTCCCTGCCAGGGCAGGAAGGAAGGAGTTCACCCACTCCTCCCAGGCATTATGAGGGAAACTGAGGCACGGAGCCAGGCCATGATTTGACCAAGGTCACCCAACAGGCCAATAGCTCCACTCAGATTAGAGCCCTTGTCTCCTAAATGCCCGTCTAGTGGATTTTCTGACGCATGGGAGGCTAGAGGCAGCTGGAGGGGACGTGACCAATGGTCTGAACAGGGCCTGCCAGCTCCCTCCTGCAAGGGGCAGGCACTGGGCTCACCCGGGGTGCTCCTACCGGCCCAGCTATGCATGAGGCTGCACCCCTGGGATGAGCCGGTTCTCAGAGCTGGGGCTGGAGTGGGGGAGGAGCTGGCAGGCTATAATTATCCGCAGGCCTGCGTGCTCTGTGTGTCAGCACGAAACCTACACCCGCTGTTCACGTAAGCAAGCGATCCGGTGTCTGGGACTCGAGCTGGGGCTGTCTTGGCTGCCGTGGGAGGGGCCTTTCTCCCCCTCCATCAGTGCACTCTGCCTTTCCTGGGCTCAGCTGTACGGGGTTCTCTCCACAGCCAGACACTACCGGCTGGGAGTCACGCACCCTGTGACGAGCCGCCAGAACCGCGGTGTCCCTTCCGCAGCCGTGAGCAGCGTCAGTGTCACAGTCTGTCAAATCCAGTCCTTCCCCGGCCAGAGTCTGCTTTTGCAAAGGCACCGAAAGTTTGGCTTCCCGTGGGGCTCCAGGAGGCAGGGTAGCCTAGTGGGTAATGCACTAGACGGGCATTTAGGGGACTCGGGCTCTAACCCGAGCACAGCTGTTGGCCCGTTGGGTGACCCTGGTCAAGTCACAGCCCTGCTGTGTGCCTCAGTTTCCCCTCCTGCAAAATGGGAATAATGAAAACCACCGAGGGGTGAAAAGAGTCACGTCAGAGGTAGGCATTGTTATTAGGTGGCAGCACCCAGAGTCTTTTGGAAGGGGGCACAGAATTTCACTGCCACCTGTGATAAATGCAGAGCTGATAAGGTGTCCTCGCCCCTTACGAGATTACTGCTGTGGGACAGCTGTTGGCCAATGGCAGGCTGACTTGGGTGTCCCATCTAGAAGGTGGGCATGGGGGAGTAACCACCCTCTGCCCCCCGCATCCGGCAGGCATCTAAAGGAGATTGTGAAGCATCTGTGAACAATTCTGCAGCCGCGCTGGCCCAAGGGAGTGAGCCGTCGGGGGCCCCCTGAAATGGGGCAACCCTTGAGGATATACCAAGGGGGGGTAGGGGTATACTGGGCACATACTTCAAAGCCCCTCCTTTCCATGCAGAGCATGCCTAGGCCGAAAGCCACATCCCGCCCCACAACGACCTATCGGCCTCGTAGGCAACACCGGCCAGGCCCACTGTAAAAAGTGACGCAGAAAGGACAGTGCACAGGGTACCGCGGCCAAGAGGAGAGAGAAACGTGCACCAAAGGTCAAGCCACATTCCGCAGCGTCACCAAGGATCTTCAACTGCACCTTGGATGACCCAGACACGTACCCAGGCAGGCGGCCTGCCAGGGCCTGCCCTGTTCCTGAGGCCAGGCCGCAGGGTGGGAGCTGGCTTGCCGAAGGCCCTGCAGCATCTCCATTTGTAACGCCGCGATCGTATCAGCCATGAAATAGCATGAGGAGGGAATAGGGGCTGGAAACGTAGCCGTGCTCCCCCAGCTGTGCCCACCAGCCAAGCTCCACCCGTTTCAGACACCAGGCTGGCCTGCCAATCCCAGCCAACGGTGAGTTTCAGATGGCGGATTAAGACCTAGGCCTAGTAGGCACATGCAGGGTGGGTCCTGCCTGTCTTGGGATTTCAGCTTCCAGGGAGTGTCTCTTTGGCCTGTGCTTGGACAGTGCCTGGCACAGTGGGGTCCTGGTCTGTGCATGGGGTCCATAGACAGTGACATAATCCAGCTAAAGAGAAGCCACCGCCCAGCACCCAGGACCAGAAAGGACCAAATTGCCACAAATCTGAGCCTAGGTGTGAGCATTCCCCACCATGCACAGAGCTCCCCACTGCCACCCATGTAGTCCCCCAGACGTGAGACTTCCATGGTGGTCCCTCTCTCCAGTCCCTTCTAGCAACTCATCTGCCAAAAGCAGACTTTGGGCCTCAGTTTCCCCATCCAGGATCAGCCCCGAAGAGAATGGAAATTGCTCTTTGCCACTCACGCCAGTGTCTATCGATGGAGGGGACTGAACAGATGGCAGACTGGCCAGGGAGAGGGAACAGAAAAGCCAAGACCCTCTGCTGGTCATGAGAGGAGGAGGAGGATGTCTTAGGGAGAGAAATGGGTATCAGAAGCAATGTTCCCTCTAAGTTTTTCCATCCATGTGCAGAATAAATTTTGTCATGCGCACCAAGGCATGTGGAGATGTGCACCACCAATAGAAACACATGCTTCTGGCTCTGGGTGCTGTGGGTACTCTGCTAATCAGCTGGGCGGCATTTGAATCTCTCCTGGGCACCCACGCAAGCACTCCGCTTACAGGGAACACTGAGCGGAAGATGTGGATTCTTTTCCTGACTCTGCTACAGACTTGCTTTGTAGGCCAAATTCACCCTGCAGAGAAGGAACCGGCGGAAGTTTTAATACCAATTAAGCCTTCACATTAGCACATAAGAGGTGCACAGGGCTTGTTTGCATGAGGGCAAACATTGCCCAAGGTGATCTTGTCGTGTCAACCCCTCTGTTCCTCAGTTTCCCCATCCATAACACAGGGTGTTGCACCTCCCAGGAGGGCTGCGAGGCTGTGCTGAGTTCACGTTTGTGTCACACGGGGCATTTCTTTACCTGAGTGAGAAGCAGCATGTTTGAGATTCATGTGAAGTGTTATAACACCATGGAAACGAAGCGGCTGCTTTGCCCAGGTCAGGACATCGGGGGTTGTTGTTTGTCTCGTAAAGGGGCAGATTCTGCCAGCTCTATTCCCACTGTGAAGTGTCTTTACTCACTGCACGGCCCCGTTCATGTCAATGGGAATCATTGCAAAGTAAAGTAATACGCTT